AAAAAAAAAAAAAATGAATTACATAAGGTAGGTATGGACCTGTATACTAGACTTCTAGGAAATGAATAAAGGAACTGTATCTTGCATCAGTCAGTGGGTCTTCAAGAGGCTCAGTGATCTGCAAATCATGTCTTGTTTTGTCATCCATCACTGAATCTACAGCAGCCTGTTCATAATGCTCATTGAATGAATAAACAAAAGGAATATAAAATAGGTTTACTATCTTCTGTGGTGCCTAGGACTGGCCTGGGCAGAATATGGATGCTTTTATATCCTTTAGCACAGGAGTAGAGGACTAATAAAGAGTAGAGTTCGTAAATAATGCCAAGTCTAAAAGAAAATACACTATTTAACATGGATCTAGCAAATTCTGTGCCAGCTACAAAAAATACAGAGATGACTAAGATAATTTTTATTTTCGAGGACTAAGAAAATTTTAGGTATCTGGGTCTGTACCAGTTGGTGAACAAATACAAGTAATTCAGCAGTATAACTATTCTACTAGAGACATATACAAGAAACATTTGGGAGGCACACAGAAGGAAGTGATCATCCTTGCCTGCAGAGGTCAGGTGGTCAAGGAAGGATTTATGAAAAAGATTTTACTTTAGTCTTACAAGGAAGTTTACCAGATGAGAGAAAGCACATTTAGCAAAGAAGACACAGGTCTGTGTGAAGGCATAACACACTCCCTTCCAGAGTGGTTCCTGGAAGGGAGTTAACAAAATATGGAAGGACAGAAAAACGTTATAAAGCACTTTCCTCTAAGGACAGAGCCTGTGCTTTAAAAAGTTCCTGGACCCTCCTCTTCTCAAAGTACCCATTTCTCCAATAAGATGTGACCTCCAAAGGGGCTTGACAGAGTTAAAAACATGAAGTAACAAAATCAGGGAGGGGAAGACAAACATATTTATTCCACTCCAGTCTATCAGAGGACTTAAAATGTGTACTGCACAGCATTCCCTGTTGTTATCAGCATTGACAAGGGAAGAATGTGCCTTAACAGCAGCTCTGCCCCAAAGCTTGCCGATGGCTGCTATGAGGCTCCCTGTCGGTCCACCGTCTTCCTCGTGGTTGTGCAGTTAATGAGGCTTCCACCCTTGTAGAAACAGGCTCCTTAACTCTAAATTCATTTTGTGCAGAGATGAGGAAAGAATCTAATATACTGACTGTTCCTCAGGTAAGCCATGACTTAAATCCTATCTTAGTTTTTAACTATCTTTATTTTCTGATTAAAATAGGAAAAAAAGGGAGAGGGGGTAAAGAAGCAATAGAAAGTATACTATGCTGATACAGAGACTTTAAACTCTAGTCAGAGTTAAGACTCATATTAAAGGTCGACTGATGGTTCAAAGGAAATAACTACATGGAGTCAGCAAGACGTGCGTCAGTTGAGTCTCATTATTAGCCTCAATAATGTAGGAAAACAATTCTCAACAAAATCGGAGTCCATACTTGTCAGGTACGCTCTGTTGGGCATGGGCAGGTAAAAGTCTAGAGAAATGGGTTCTCTCCATGCCCTGGTAACAAAGAAAGAAGGCTTCTGGTTTGATGAAAAGAGCAGCTCCTGTTCCCAGGTGGTGCCTGAAGCTCACCGGCTGAGGTTAGCAGTGGAATCGAGTGGAGAACTTGGGAGAAACAGGCACAGTCAGAGGCTGGTCACTTGACTTTACTTCCACACCCTGGTACTTGCGTATTGGATTTGCCTTGTGCACCTACAGAATAAGGAAAGATAGTTACCACTGATCAGGATGTTAGAGAACTCTGCGTATAGTTGTTTTTATTTTTTTTCTTCTTGAGAAAATGTTTGTATAGTCTTAGAGATCCAAGTCACTATCCAAAGGTGGGGTGGGGGGGGACACACACAACACAGCATAATGGAAAAGCATGTGAGCTTTGGAGCCCACGTAGGTTTCTATTCAGGTCTTGGGGGTCCCTCAGCTTGCACTAAAGAACATCAAGCCTAACTCCAGCTTGATTGTTTATTACTAGGTTTAACAGGGTTGTACACAACTGCAGCAGAAAAGAGATACATGTTAAGAATCTGTCAGAGTGGGGGGTGGGGGGCTGGGATAACTGGGTGATGGACATTAAGGAGGGCATGTGATATAATGAGCACTGGGTGTTATATAAGACAGATGAATCACTGAACTCTACCTCTGAAACTAGTAACATACTATATGTTAAAAAAAAATCTCCCAGAGTACAATCTGAAGCTTATCAAGTCTTAATATTCACCAAAACCATGGACAAACAAACAAAAATGATAACCAGGAAGAATTTCTGGGAGAAGGCCATCCTTCCTTCTGGGTAGTCTAAAACAATCCTGAATTAAGTCAGGTTAGTCGAGAGCTAAGTAGCATTGACTGAACTGTGCTTTAGAATGCTGACATCAGCCTATACTGAGAATCACTCTGAGTAACACCTCTATGATGGGGACAAACACAAGAGGCAGTACCAAGTGTTGAAGAAAAATCAAAGAACTTCAGGCTGGAAAAAAGGCTGGTTTTGTGAGCATATCTAGAGTGGGGACTGTATCATTTTTTCATCCAATCCGCAAACGGCAGCTTGGATTTTGCCAAGAAGCTAGTCCCTTTAATAGTTTGTCCCTAGAGCCTTCTTGAGGCCACAGTCATTACTGCCAACACCTGTACCAGCAGCTGGCCTAGACTTTTTAGACAAAACCGCAAAAACTTATGTATTTATATAATCATCCTTTTATCAATCACATGAAGTTCCATCTGAAACTGTCTCTTTGCTCATTAATGCAGCTTGCTGCCCTCTGAGTGAAAAAGTCCTTAATGTGAATTAAGCTTTCTTTCTGGATAACTTAATATCTAAATCATTATGCTAGTGTTAGCACTGAGGGTCACATGGACCAATATGTGCTATAACCCCAAGGAATTTGAGTCAATTATTAAGAGGAAAACGAAAATACAGTTGCCACATAATTCCCATGTCCTTCCCTACCTATGTATTCTTGTCTAATTGTAAAACCACATTGGTTTTCTTAAGTCTAAAGAAAATAATAAAAATAAGTTAGATAAATAAACAAATCCTAGCAATGCATCACTGTGCATGTTATACCACATGATACCCTCCTTATGAAGACCCCTGGAAGAAACTCTATCTGAATTCAGTATCAAGACTAAATGTTTTTTTGTTTTGTTTTTTTAACAACTAGCTTGTTTGTATCTCATGAACACTGTTAGTTTTGTAACCAACAGGTTGGTTCCTAAAAAGAGCTAAAATTATGGCTCAAACTTAGCAGACGCATGGATCACAATGTGCACATCTTTAACATTGTTCACATCACAACTTCGTCACTATTCTTGGTTTGTGTGATTTTCCACCTTCATTCATCTTTGATATGTCCTGGTAGGCCACCTTAGATCCTTTCTGGAACAAGGCAAGGTAGAGATAAAACAAAATAAAGACAACCGTGGGTTAATGAGTGCTCATGCTGCCCAGTTACCAGTTCTTTCCGTAGCCTGGCCAGCTCCTCCCTCTGTTGCTCTTCCTCCTGGTGCCTGGCCTCCTCCAACTGCTGGACTTTCTGAGCTTCTACCTCAGCCATTCTCTTCTCCAGCTCCTGCCGCTCCTTGGCTCTCTTCTCGGTGGCCAGCTGAAAAGGTTCCTGAACTAGAGAACCAGAGAGGCCCTCTGAGTACAGAAACAGAGAGAATATTGGTGCATAGGCAGGACCTACATAAACCTAGCCCCCTGGATGCAGCAAGTGGCACAGACATGCATGGCAACAGAAAGGCTAAACTCTAGGGAAGCCCTGTTAGCAGAAAGGTGGAGCATACCACATACAAAAAGTCCTAGAATTTTAACAGTTGGAAGCGCTCCTGGAAACCATCTAATTAGGAGAAAATCAAGACCCACACAGATGAAATAGCTTGCTCAAAACTACATAGTGATTCTGAGACAGATGTAGGAGGAGAATCCGATTTTCTGACACTTACCCAGAGCTTAAGGAATCAAACATTTTATACCTAAGGCTTGCTTCATGGTGAACTCCAGAAAGAAGTCCTGGTTCTTCCTCCCTCACTTACTACTCTTTGTAAAGTAAAGCCCATAACTGCTGTTGAAATGTCAGTGACTTTTGCCCAGGCTCTTGTTCTGTGAATCTGGCCCCAACATATGCTGCAAACTCAACACAGGTATGCAGTTCAACAGACAAAAAACCCGGTCTAAGAAGAGAACAACTAGATCCTCTAAAGGAAAATGCTTCTGGTTGACACAGCTAATACTGACATAACTGAGTCCCCAGCATCCCCCCTGGGAAGTCTGACAATTCTGCCCTGATCCCCCAAGAGTACATATAATATACTACCAGCAACGGATTTCTTCTCTTTCTTGGGAACAAAGGGCTCCTGGGAGATGACTGTGTTTGGACGAGCCTTGAAACAAGCTGCTTCTCTCTGCTGCTTCAGTTCTTCCTCCAGCTATTAGAAAGAAAGCCTGTTAGATAAGCAACAGCACAACCCTCCATAACTGCTGCCTCAGTGGCTCGAGAATTAATGTTTCTAAATGGCTTCATCAATAAAGGCAGGAGATGACTTCATCTAAACCCCAGTTAAAACCCCCTTTACACTAAGTAGATCAGACTAACATAACAACCTCTGAATCCACTAAGAAGTAGAGGATATCTTTAAGGTACTTTTAAGGCCTAACTGAACATCACAAAAATAAACGTGTGGACATTATATACCCTTGGATGGGATAATCTATAAAGTATTCTCTCTTCCAACCCCCAAAAGAATCTAGCCAGAATTTTTTTTTTAAGAGTTTACTTATTTATTTGAGAGAGAGAGAGAGAGCATGAGTGGGATGGGGAGGGGAGTAGGGGAGAGGCAGAAGGAGAGGGAGAAGCAGACTCCCTACTGAGCAGCGAGCCCGATGCAGGGCTCAATCCCAGGACCCTGAGATCGAGACCTGAGCTAAAGGCAAATGCTTAACCAACTGAGCCACTCAGGTGCCCTAAATCTAACCAGAATTTAATCAAGCCTCTAGATTTAACTACTCATTTATAGGAAATACAGAAGGTACAGGAACATATTAAATAACACCACGGGAATACCATGACCAAAATTGGGATTGTGGAAAATTTATAGGACAAACAAGCCAGTTTATTCCACAAGTAATATGTAACTAGAGGAGCCTACAGAGAAAAAGGGATTTAGAGATTGATCAAACAAATGCAATATGTGGGCCTTATTTGGATCCTGATTTGAACAATTCGACTCTCTAAAAAAATTATGAGGGGCACCTGGGTGGCTCAGTCGTTAAGCAACTGCCTTTGGCTCAGGTCATGATCCCAGGGTCCTGGGATCGAGCCCTGCATTGGGCTCCTTGCTCAGCAGGGAGCCTGCTTCTCCCTCCCCCTCTGCCTGCCACTCCCTCTGCTTGTGCTCTCTCTGTGTCAAATAAATAAAATCTTTAAAAATAAATAAATAAATAAATAATGAGATTTGGGGATATAAGAACACTATTTGTCACTATTAAGGGATTACTATTAATCTTTTTATGTGTGATAGTATTATGGGTTTTTTTTTAATACTTATATTTTTAAAGATACATATATATCTTTACTTGCTGTTTTTGGATGAAATGACGTGATACCTAGAATTTGCTTCAAAGTAGTCCTTTGTTGGTAGAAATATCTAGTATAGAGGTTAAGTAGGTAGAAATGCAGATGAAGGGGTGCCTGGGTGGCTCAGACACGAATGGGTGTCTGCCTTTGGCTCAAGTCATGATCCCAGGGTCCTGGGATCAAGCCCCACGTTGGGCTCCTGGCTCAACGGGGAATCTGCTTCTCCCTCTCCCTCTGCCTCTCCTCCTGCTCATGCTCTCTCTCTGTCTCAGATAAATAAAATCTTCAAAATAAAAAAAGAAATGCAGATGAAGTAAGATTTTCCATGTTTTGATCATTATAGAACCAAGTGACAGGTTCATGGAAGATCATTATACTAGCCTCTCTACTTTTGTGTATGTTTGAAAAACTTAAAAAAAAAAATTTTATTATAGGAAATACCCCACACAGACATTTTGTGTCATGGTCCTGGAAAGAGAGATTCATTACTACTTCCAAAACAACAGTTTTCCTAGGGAACACCACCACCAAGGGACCTATGTGTAGTCATGTAAGCAATCGCATCTCTTGACTTCCTAGAAAGATTAGCCCAGAGCTCCTTTTGGACAGAGTCCAGATAAGTGATGATATAAAAACACTGACAAACTTAGGGATTCAGGGGAATTTTTTTCCAAATAGGGCAGAATTAGATCCCAATTATACCAGCCAACAACCAATTAACTGTTTTTAATCACTTGTCATCTACAAAGAGCACACTATGTTGAGAAGACAGCATACCATACTGAGGATCTATTCTCACCATACTGTTTCTTATCAAAGTACCAACAGAAAGGAGTGAACATGTAAGGAACAAATCTAACAGATGGAATAGATGAGATCTTAAACTCCTGATGCAAAAAGAGCCTGTTGGTTCTCACATTCCCCAGATGATCACTTGGAGCAGAGGTCAGCAAACTTCAGCCTGCAGGCTAAATCCAACTTGCAATCCCTTTTTGTACAGTCCTTGAGGTAAGTCTAGTTTTCACATTTTCAAAGGGTTGAAACCTACACACACACACACACACACACACACACACAGAATATGTGACAGAGACCATATGTAACCTACAAAATCTAAAATATTTACTATCTGGTCTTTTATTTTTTATTATTTTTTTAAAGATTTATTTATGAGAGAGAGAGAGAGCGCACATGAGCAGGGGGAGGGGCAATGGGAGAGTAAGACAAGCAGACTCCCGGCTCAGCAGGGAGCCTGATGTGGGGCTCGATCCCAGGACCCTGAGATCATGACCTGAGCCGAAATCAAAGAGTTGGACACTTAACTGAGCCACCCAGGCGTCCCACTATTTGGTCTTTTATAGAAAGTCTGCTGATCCCTGATTTAGAGTGAGAGTTCCTGAAATAATCCAGTATTTTAGTTCTCAGATGAATTTTAGTGTAGTGGGTCTACCTCTTCTAACAAACCAACAATGAAGCAATGAACATTTTAGCTGCTCTCCCATCCCCCACCTGGTGCTTCCAAGTCTGTGCCTTCAGAGCACCTCTTCTGTCAGTCTCCAAGCAGAAAGGCTCAATCTGAGTTGTGTTCTTCACCTTCTTCTCTGGCAGGTTAATGGTGTCAAAATGAGGCAAAGGAAGTGCCTTAAACTTGGGCACCTAACAAAAAAGAAAACATAAGATTTAAGATCCTAAGGTCTCTCTAGCTAGAAAGCAAGAGCTGCTCCAGAGTATCCGGATGAATCCGAAATATAGGAAAGGCCAGTTTTCAGAGCAGCATGGTATGTATAGCAGAAAGAGTAAGGGGCTCAAAAGGAAATCTAGGTTATCCTCCCAATATTGCCAATAACTGGCAACACGATCACAGGAAAGTCACTTAATCTCCTTGCGCCAGTAGGGTTATTAAAAACTTGCCCTATTTATACTTCATAACGTTCTTAGAGGGATCAAAGGAAGTATTATGCTACTTGCAGAAATGGAAACACCTACCTCCCCTTTCTGCAGTTCTTTTATTTTCTTTTCCTTCTGTAACTGACGTTCTTTGTCTCGAGAATCAAAAGAGAAAGGGCATATTTCCACAGTTCTTGCCTCCGGGATTTGGGGCTTAAAAGGCACCCCATAATGTGGCACAGGTTGAGCTCTTATCACAACCGGCTCCTCCTCTTCCTAAGGGAAAAACTGTAGTTTAGACACAAGCTCTCTCTCACCTCCACAGAATGTGGTGTCAGAAGACAGTATTTGAAAGAAATTAATTAAGGCAAGTTACTCAACCTCCTAGGTGTCTTTGCTTCCTTTTCTATCAAAGAGGGATAATACCTAAGTCACCTACCACTTCATAGGGGTGAGACCAGTGTGAAAGCATTTGATAAAGGACTAACACAATTACTCTTAAAGGATCTAAAGTTTTTCACAGGAAGGTTGTAAAAATGAAATGAGATCAAACAGTGTGAACAAAGTGAAGAACAGAGGAAAGGTACTAAGTAAGCATATACCTTGGCCTCTTCTTTGACCCAGCCTCCAGACTCCACTAAAACATGTGACTGAGAGTTAATGGTTGCCAAACCCAGAATAGGACCTAGTAAGTTGTTTGAGTTCAAGCTGGTAACATAAGATTACGGTGTATTTTAGTTTCAAATGAACCTATAAAAAGGTTTATGCTTGAGATCTGCTATAAAATTACCCTAACTCTGGATATTTATAGATAAAATGGGAGATGTAACAAGATACTAGCCTGATCAATGACAGTTTATGTATTCCAATTTCATGAACCATCACTACACAGTAACCTTAGCGACCCTTGGGTTAGTGGAGATCAGACAGGGAGGACATAACTGCTCAGTGTGAATTTTAAAAGTCCCTCACTGAATGGTGACAATAGCTTAGGCAAAATAAAATACAGGGCTTGTCGACTTTATTCAAGTTATGACAGGCTGATTTTCAATGCTATAGAAATAGACAGGCATCCAATAAGTTGCATAACCAGTCACTACTGAAAGCCAGAAGATTCATACCCTTACCAATTACTTTGCTCTTGGGGGAGCAAAAAAGATGATCAAATGTTCATACCCACTGTTAAAGACAACTCCAGATAAGAGTGACTGCCTTTGAATTCCATTAAGCTTAAGAAAGAGGAATGTTAAATTGATAAAGTAGAAGGAAGAAAACTCCCTCTATCCCAGGGAATCACCTCATCTTCTTTGGTGGGCATTCGAATTCTGTTCTTCAGTGCAAAGGCCGGTGACTTGGGGACAGTGATTGGAAGTACTTTCTTTTCAGGAACACCCTGCAAGGAGTAAGCAATTCAATTAGACATCCCAGAACAATCTCTACTAGGCTGTGTGGTAAGATCAAATCCCTCTCGAGGAGGCTGGGTGGCTCAGTCGGTTAAGCGTCTGTCTTCGGCTCAGGGCATGATCCCAGGATCCTGGGATTGAGTCCTGGGTTGGGTTTTCTGCTCAGTGGGGAGTCTGCTTCTCCCTCTCCCTCTGCCTGCCGCCCCCCCTGCTTGTGCTCTCTGTCAAATAAATAAATAAAAACCTAAAAAAAAATAAAATAAAATCCCTCTCTTAAAGGGGAGTTCACATACCAGGAATCAAAAAAAGGCTTTAGTATATTGCTGTTTACCCAGCATACTGAAACACAGTAGCAGTCCAAAGGTGGATTATCATACAGAAGAGCAGCAAATAACAAGGGGATGGCTGGAGTACTATATTCAGTAAAAATAGGATTCATCACAATCTTTTTTGGTGCTTATGAAAAACACTCACCACAACAGAAAACAAACTAATGCCAATATTTTATTGTTTCTCTTCCTTTCTATAATCACTCAAAAATAAAAAGACCTCCAAATGTATCTAGATCAGAATAGATAACTGTCCATTTTCTTCAACTTATTCCTCATACAACTCTATAATGAAAACTTAGGTTCAAAAACATCACCCTCAGGGTGCCTGGCTGGCTCAGTCGGTGGAGCATGTGACTCCTGATCTCACGGTTGCCAGTCTGAGCCCCATATTGGGTGTAGAGATTACTTAAAAATAAAATCTTAAAGGGGCACCTGGGTGGCTCAGTTGGTTAAGCGACTGCCTTTGGCTCAGGTCA